ATTTTTAAGAAAAAAATTAACTTTAACTCATTGCTGATTATAACAACCAGTTTGTGTACAATTTCTATATCAGTGCACATTTAGAAAATTATTCAAATCAAATAATCAGAAGCGTTTTTTACAGATGTGCTCCAAAGGATCTTAAACAACTACGACCTAAGCATAAAAATCATCTACATGTTGGGGACTCTAGGCTATACTGTGGGCACAGCCATCATGTCCATCTTTCCAAATATATATGTTGCTATGGTGATGATAAGCACCATGGGAATCATTTCTATGAGCATGTCATACTGCCCTTATGCTCTTCTGGGACAGTACCATGAAATCAAAGAGGTATGTATCATTTCATTAACTCGTGTAACCAAATATATGATGTTACCAATAATACAAACTAAAGTTTGTCAAAAGTTCAAAAGTTTGGTATTTGGATTTGCCTTTGTTTGATCAAAACAGTAATATTGTGAAATAATGCTATTTAAAATAACTTTACTATTTTAAAATGTAATTTATTCCTGTGATGGCTGAATAGTTGAGTCTTTAGTGTCACATGATCCAACAGAAAACCTTCTAATACGTTGATTTGGTGCTCAAATATTATTTTCCATTTTGAAAACAATTGTGCTGCTTAATATTTTTGTGCAAGCTGTAATACATTTTTTTCAGGTTTCTTTGATAAGTATAGTGATCAAAAGAACAGCTTTTATGTTCTTATGTCCCCCCCCCATCCTGACACTTTGAAGGGTAGTATGTATATATCTGGATATAGATCTGGAAGCTGTTCCAGAATTCATTTTCACAACAAGTAACACTTGATTTGTGGCAGCAGTTTTCCTCACAGCAGCAGTGCTCTCAATCAGTGTCTTTCATCTTTCTTTTACATTGTCACAGTACATTCATCACAGCCCTGGAAACTCACGGCGAGGCTTTGGCATCGACTGCGCCATCCTGACGTGTCAGGTGTACATCTCTCAGATTTTGGTGGCGTCGGCTCTCGGTGCAATCGTAGATGCTGTCGGTACGGTGAGAGTGATCCCCATGGTGGCAGCAGGAGGTGCCTTTCTTGGTTTCCTTGCTGCGGCTTTCCTCGTCATCTATCCTGATACACTTGATGATGAAGATGATGACGACGATGAAGATGGGCAGGGCCTAAGTTCTGTTCAGTCAGAGGCAGCGTCCAGTAACAGTACAGAGAAACTCAGTGTTTCAAAGTCAATGCCAAGGAACAGTTCCTGCAAGCTAGGAGTTGAATCCACAGTTTGAGTGTTAGAACTTAAAATAGTTTGAGTTATTAAAGTACAAATCGCAGAATGCACAAGCAAGAGGGTCATTGTCTATCATTCATACACTCCCTCATATGCTGAATGTAATTCTGTGGCTATGGTACAGAGACAAACCTATTTGAGTCAAATATGTGATTTCTGAGATTATTTCTCAAGCTATTTATTATTTGTGGCCAAAATGTCCGTTGTCTGCACAAAAGTATGTTTCAGTTTTGATTTAGATTTTTTTATAACCAGGTTTACATCACTACATTTGAAAACATTGTTTCACATTCTAATACTTTTTCTACACATTTTATCATTTCACTTTACAAATCAACATTTGCATTCCAGATGTAAGTTTGCATTTTTTTTAGACTGATTTTTTATCAGTGTTAAAATGTGTCTGATTATCATTGTATTTCCCATCTCAGCCTCATATCATAAGAAACAATCAAGGGAAAGTTGAAAGGCTGCTGCTTCTGAGCTCAAAACGCTCACTTCTGTTTAGACTTCATCTATGCACAATGCCAAATATTTTTTCTAATGATCCTAGACTTTGAGCAAGACATTGGTTTTGAGAGTTGCCTTTAGTTAGTAAACTTGATTTTCTTAAGTACACTATTTTAAGGTATGAAGAGCATGGAAGAGCTGTGACACCGAGTAAGGAAATGGCTTTGCTGTACAGCAGTGATTGGTTTGTGAAATGAAGAAGTGTGTTTAGCTGTCATGGCAATTTTTACTTGGTTTCAGCCTCCATTGTAAGTGATGACTCTCCAATAGTGGCAGTATTTTTTCATAGTCAAATTCATAATACTGTTCCAGTACTGTTGTATAGTTATTATACACAAGTTATTGAGCTTGTTTCTTGTTCAAGAAGACAGGCCAAATATTTCCTTTACTAGTCAGTCACAGAACCCCACTGGCTAAGTGTATGCTCATAAATGTAGATTAGATACATTGCTGGAAGTGTGACATCTGTACAGAGGTCAGTAGGCTGGCGTTGTATCCTATTTTATCAATCCGAAAGTTTTTATTTGTGTGTGTGTGTGTGTGTGCGCGCGCGCAAGGTGAACACTTTTTATAATTTTTTTTGTATATGTGGTACTGTTGTGACTTTTTAGTGTTTGAACCAAATTGAAAGTTTATACTGGTTCCAGGTGTTTTTGTTTTGAATTTGTGTGAAGTTTCGATAAAGATCAAGTTTTACACTTTTCCCTGTTTGAACGCTTGTTTGTTTTAAACTAGCACAATGTGGTTGAATCTGAAATGTATTATGGTTGTTGACTATCCGTATCGCGCACTCTAGTGTGGTGTCGCGGCCATCGACCACTAGGTGGCGCGAGTACTTAATGAGATACCGGGTGATACATAAATAGATGCACGAACTGAAGGAAGGCCTGTATTTAAAGGGGTCATATGATGCTGCTAAAAAGAACATTATTTTGTGTATTTGGTGTAATGAAATAGCGTGAGGAACGGACGGAGGGCTGGAGTGAGCAGAGGCGGCGGATTCGACGAAGGAGTGTCCGGCGGGCTTGCGGCAACCACTCCAAAGAGAAAGGAAAAATTGAAATCGCATCATATGACCCCTTTAAGGAAAAATTCAATTCGATCTTAAAAACGCTACATTATTACCGTCAAGTTACATTGAACGATTTCTGCAATGTTTGACAGAAGCGTTTCCATGAGAAATCAGTTGTATTTACAGAGTGGATTCTTTACAAAATGTCATTGACACTTCATAAATAAGGCAAAAGGGCTTCGCTTGATGATATTTTTATAACTATTATTTCAGCAAATAATCAGTGAAAGGAGATGCTTAACCTTCAGAAAATGTTCAGGGCACCAAACTAGTTTTTTTCTTGCTAGTTAGATAATAATTTATCAAATAATATCTAATATTTCTCACAACAAAACAGGATCGCTTTTACATTTATTCATTTCGTAGACACTTTTATACAAGGCGACAAATGAGGAGAAACACCAGAAGCGATTTATCTTAAGAAGGCAATAACATGCTAATATAAAGTTTCGACATTGTCAGAATATTATAAACTAGAAAAAGCATAGGGAAAAAAATATTTTTAAATTGGTATAGCCTACAGTTAAAGGGATAGTTCAAAATTTAAATTCTGCCATCATTTAGGTACGCACCTTCAAGTTGTTTGTAACCTGTATGAGTTTCTTTCTTCTGTTAAACACAAAAGAAGAAATTTTGAAGAATGTTGGCAACCAAACAGTATGGGGGGGGATTACGACTTGAACAACTTGAGGGTGTGTAAATGATGACAGGCCTTTAATTTTTGGGTGAACTTTCAGTTATCAGTGTTTTCTTGAATATATTGTCAGTCAGGTATTCGGCAGCTCGGACAGATTTTGGAAGATAATTCCACCAAGAGGGAACAGTGAACGAAAACATTCTGGAAAGATTTTGATGCCCTTCTGTGATGGTACCACGAATCTCCGCTCATTTTCCGACAGCAGGCTCCCGGAGGGGATGTAAAATCGTGAGAGAGGAGGTAGGATGGTTTAAAGTAATGGGTCACAGAGGAGTACATTGGAATATCCAAACAATGGTTTTAATACATTTGTATTTTCCAGAGAGGTTTGCTCTGCTTTACCTTTACCGCATGTATTATGTTGTCATTTTAAAGGTAGCACTGGCCGTTGAGAACATGTAGTGCCTGTTGACTGTAGAGCGCATGCGCAGATCACTGCTTCAGCAGCTTGTGTAGTGTATCCCTTTCTTTTGTCTCAACCTGTCCCGTGCGTAATTTCACTTTCATAATACCGGTGATCGACAAAGGTGCGTGCATTCTTATCTTTACAGCAAAGATGGGCATTTATTTACAGGGTTAGAATATAAACTTTAAGAAAAACTTTACAATGTTATCGCCTTATATTAAAACTTTAAGATTATTTATCTGTTCATTGAAAACGTCAGCTAGCCTACTCGTCGAGTTTTTTGCAGTTATTCCTATTAGGGTAAATATTTAAATTATTACAGTTATCATCCTTGAATTATCAAAAGTATTAATAAAGTTAGGCAAAATAAAAGCAGTGACTCATTATCTGAAGTTGAATACATATTGAATGTTTCCGCTGACTACAGTAAAATATTCAAATGTTCTTTTTGCTATTCACTTACAGCTCCTTTTGTTACAGTTTTTATATATATATATTTAGTTTGGCTTGCACATAATTATATTTTTACAATGTGTTGCATGATGTTTAATTTGTGGATAGAATACGTGTCTAAAATAATAACGTAAATAATAATAATGTCCCACCCTGGTTATTCACGTATTCTAGCCTAAGCTCTTCAGAAAGAATTTTTTTTTTTAGAAATTTTACTCTTGCAACACACACATGAGTCAAATTTAACCCAGGAACTTCCCAGAGCAGGAAAACGAGATTAGTGGCACATCTTTTTATCTGTGGTTTCCGGGGTGTCTGTGTAATAATAACTTTCTTTGTTTCCACAACCATGCCGTTGTGTTGCTGTTGTGTTATTCCTGACTTGTTAATGTGTATATATATCTTAATATTGCATCTTTAAAGTTGATCACATATACTCTACAGTGTTAAGCAAAAATGTTTTACTTCTTTTAGATTTCAGTTCTCAACCCAGGAGCTACAAATAAGAGATTTCTGAATCAAATTAATATGTGTATTTTCTTCACTGATCTCTCTGTTCACAGATCTTATGAGGAGTGCCAATCCTGTTGATTATCAATGGCAGACGGTCTGCCTTCAGGATTACTGGAAGCATGTGTCGTTGTGGGACCTGCAAATGATAAACTGAAGGAGCTCTCCCAGGTAAAATAATTTCCTTCTGCGAGTTTTTGTTAAACTGTTATGAGGTGTAAGGCACTGCCTTTACAACAGCGGATCTCTTTATTTAAAAACAACGTATGCATCAAACATGATGGGACAGGTCTAGAGCTATAGACTATATTCTGATGGAATCCCTGATTTGGTTGCATTTTGTTTTCAGTTTGAAGTTTACCCTTTATTCAAAAGATAAAGTCTGTTTTTTATATGAAATATTTCTTTCTTTTTTTTTATTCGTAGAGGTTCATAGGAGCAGTTTGTTTGTGAAAGGTGCCAAGGTTCATGAAATTATTTCATTTTGTTTTATTTTATTTGATCTTTTTTATTTTTTTATTTTTTATTTATTTATTGCATCTAAAAAAGGGAATATTGCTTTAAAAAAAATGGTTTAAAATGATGTTTATATTCTCATCAGATTAAGTCATGTCAGTGGTCTTGAAAAAGCATTGTGTCTTTGCTGCAGGTGAATGAAAGTCCTTTACCGCTGTTCGATCCTGAGGTTCTGCAGGTCCATACACCTCCGTTTGTGTCTAAAGAGAGTCTCAGTGAACCAGCCGTGAGAAACCTCAGCCAGACCCAGCAACAGCGCTTCTTCATTAAGAAGAAAAATGATAGGCCTGTTATTAAGGCTGGAAACCCCAAAGAAGAAACCATAGAGGATGTTAGTGTTCCCAAAGACCTGGATCTGGTGGCTCTGCCACAACTCTGCTTTCCAGGTGAAACTAATTTATGTGCAAAAGCTTGACTGGTTGTTGAATCATGTCAGTGCATCTGCTGCAACCCTGTTCCATGCAGATCTTTATACATTACACAGTGTAATACTTCAGAAACTGTATAAAATCGCTATAGAATTCATGCCAAAGGTCAGCACACCGCAGTATAAAGAGCACAATAATAAAGGTTTTAACTGACTCTATAAAGAGCAATGCTGTAAATGTTAAATACTGTAGTTCAGTTCACAGTAGCTGTAATGTTAGTTTAGAATGATTAGATTAGACTAACATTCATTTCTTTCTTTTAAATCAGGTGGACTTCAGATAACTAATGAGCAAAAGGATGAACAATTTCACTTCCTAGTCTTCACTGACGTGTTTGGAAACCAGTCTCATGGAGTAGTTCTCCAGTACTGTAGATCAATACAGGTCAGATTCTTTTTTTATATTACCTGATATTAACCTCTCATTATGGTTGTGTATTGACAGATCACCTGTGCTGAACTTCACCTGCTGTGCTTGAATTAGCAAAAATGTTAAAAAATGAAGGCAAAATTAAGTTGTGTATGTTTCTGCTAACAGTGCAAATTTTGAGACCTATAATATGCAAATATTGAATATGCAAATATTCTCTTTTCTATTGAATATTAGGCAATTGATTTACAGTTTTTTTTCTTACTGTTGCATGCTGTGGGTCGAATATGTGTTTAAAATAGTAACATTTTAATATGTCTTATTTGGTTATTCAAAGTAGAACATAGGTCATGTTAGGACAAATGACATATTAGGACAAAGTAGGATGTCTTATGCACCAGAATCATGAATTCCATCACATTACATAGCTCTGTTCAATCATGTTTCATACATATATACAGTAGGCTAAACACACACACACACACACACACACACACACACACAGACGCTCATATGAATATCATTGGTTTAAGGTCACAAAATAAAACTAATACCATTGATTAATGAAATTGAAATTGTGATTGGGAGTACTTTCCAAACTATATGGTGGTGTTCAGTTGATACTGTTTTGATTAAGGCACTGACATATTCAAACTTTTTGTTTTAAACCCTGTTATACAGGAAGGAATGCAGAATGGACACCGGTCCTTGTACAAGTCTCCACAACTCTACATTGCTTATGCAATATGTGTTATATCAAAACACCCATATTACAATGCTCTCAAGGACTGTCTGTCTTGGTAAGATTCAAGACATTTATTCACATGTATTGAAAAACAAGAAAATATTTGGGAAACAGAGGAGAATAAAATATATAACAAGAGGCTTATCAGCAGTACTAGATTCTGCTATTCTGTCTTCATAAAATACTCAGTTTGTCTATCCTATAAGAAACACACCGATAACACATTTATTTGCATTAGTTGAATTATTGTGAACAAACAGAGCTTGTTTTGATATCACTTCAGAGCCACAGTATTTACACTTTTCAGAGAATTCAACCTACAAATGCCTGTCATAGTTGTCTTTGTATATTAAACCGATATAGGAGAAAGCATTTTAACATCCAAAATGACACACACCACCTTTTCTTCCATTTCCTGAGTTTTCACTCTCCCATCCGCAGCCTCTTAGGTCAGCTCAAAATCTGTCAAATGACTGATATGGAAGAGCAAGTGAAGGAGTTTTCTGCTAAACTGTCTCTAGTCCCAGTGCCTCCTCCTGGCCAGCTGTATGTGGTGGGTTCTTTTAGACATCTAAAGTTTAGCAAAGTCAGAGATCTGAAATAAAATTGTAATTGTGTAAAAAAAGTCTATGATATAGAATAACGTGAAAACAAAATGCATAATACATGTGAAGTATATTTACATTATTTTTCATGTCAGGTGTTCACCTTAAGACCTCTGACGATTGTCCTTCCGTCAAGAGAAGATAAAAATCATCCTGTTATTGACCTGGACTTACATCTTCCGTTCTTCTGCTTCAAGTCCAGAGAGCTGCTGCAGGTCTCAAACATAAATGCTTATGACTTAATATGGAAACAACAATAATTGAGGGGTTTTCTTTGTTAGCGGTTTGAGTGAACACAGACGGTCTGGAAATCACAACCAGTCAATTTTAGATTAAAAAAAATGGACGAATTGTTTTGATTAAACAAAAATGTTACTGAACGTTTTGGTCCACATCACATTGAAAAAAATGTTTTATGTCTCTGTTCCCCTGCAGATCATAGCCAGTATACTCACAGAGCAGCGTATGGTGTTCTTTTCCTCAGACTGGGCCAAACTGACCCTGATCATAGAGTGTTTCATGCTGTATATTTGGCCCTTGCACTGGCAGCACCCACTGGTGCCTATACTGTCCCAACAGATGCTTGACTTTGTTATGGCACCGACTACCTTCCTCATGGGATGCCACATCAGCCACTATGAGGACGTTGCCAAGGTAAAGCCTAAATAATGGTCCCTATTAACTCATTCTGCTGTTCTTTAGTTCAGGGTTTTTCAAATTGGGGTCCACGATGGGGTGATAGAGGGACTGGGGAAGTCTGAGTGGAGAAAAAGCTTTTGATGATTTCTATTGATGAAATTTTTATTCTGTATTAAAATGTAACTTAATACAAAACATTCATATATTTTATAATAATTCATTATATTTGATAATTTCTTTTGGCATTAGTACAATACCAAAGCTATTATAATAATAAAATTCAAGTATTTAATTTTGACAAACTGTTAATTTTACATTTTAAAATTAATTAAGTTTAAGTTGTATTTTTAATATTACGATTAATATTTTCCACACAGTATAATTGTGTATTTATAGATGCCTTTATATTTAAGGAACATAATTTTCCTTTGCAATTTTTGAAAACCTGACATTTGAAAACCCCTCATAAATTGTATAAAATTGATTTATTTATTTATCTCAATTAAAACTGTCTCTAGTTAACTTTAATAAATTCATGATTTTTTCTTAAAGCGGTCATATGATGCTGCTAAAAAGAACATTATTTTGTGTATTTGGTGTAATGAAATTGTAATGTGAGCCATTTTAGGTAGTCGTGGCTGACTCTTAACTTTTATAAAGAATATCTCTTTGGATTTGAGACTTTAGTCTTTGCAACTTTACAGATCTTCTTTATGCACCAAGAGCTTGTAACACTCCAAAGAGAAAGGAAAAATTGAAATCGCATCATATGACCCCTTTAAATCAACAGCGTGTCAACTTCTGTGATTTGTGATCTGTGAAATCATTGTCTGTTTATCAGTTAACAGATGACCTGATTCTGATCAATATTGATGAGGGAACCGTGTCCTGCTCTGGCTGTCATTATGTTGAGGTCCCAGACATCCCACAGGCAGCTGCTCAGCGTTTCAAGTGTCGGTAAGAAACATTTAACCATTAAATGCAGTCTTGCTAACGCTAAGAATCTTTATTCTATTGGAGCAATCAAAATATACAAGATATTAATAAACTCACATTATCAGACCCAGCTGGGGAGACCAGGGGCCTGCACAATGATGGTAGTTGAACAAACTCAGGCTTACAGGATTGGTTTCAAGTTGACAAATCCAAACAATCCAATCAGGCTTTGTTGGTACCATGATGCTGATCATCAACTTTCTCTCTCACCTCGACTTTGATCCTTCACTAATCCTCCACTCCATTCATGTGTAATGGATTTAAGGGCACAACAATTATAGAAATAATGGCGCAATCTAAACTGAAATCTAAACCAGTTTCATTGTATAGGCCCCAGGTCCCATTATATGTTCGTAATGTATTCGGTCATGTATTTGTCAGAATTGTAATTGGTTTGCTGGATCTTCATGTAGAAGGAAAGGTCTTCAATTACACTATGACTTGGAAGTGGTTCATCAGAGAATATGTAGCAGTCTTTATGAGCTGCGGATGCAGAGAAGACACTGGCAACACAGGCTCAATTTGGACATACAAAACATCACCCTGGAGCTCATCGTTAACATGTTTAGGTCAGTAAGAGCCTGTGCAGAACACTAGAACTGACTTTTGAACTAACTCAATTTGAATCTTCTATACATGTGTAATTAAAATAATGCTTCTTTTTCCAGAGATGTCAGTGATAACCTTAATCACGAACACAGAGTATTTAACACTGATGAGTTTCTGAAGACCAGGGAGCCAGGCGACCAACCATTTTATAAAAAGGTGGCTTTCCATTTAATAATATGTCTGGTCTTCAACCTTTCGAAATAGAATAGTATGACTGATGGCTTTTTATTCATGACAGGTCTTGGAAACACACATTTTCCACTCCTTCTTGAAAGAACGTTTGAATGGAAAAGGAGATAAATTTACCCAAATGGAGCTTAGTACTCAGACAGAAGACCAAAAGTAAGTTGAAGCTGTGTTGTCTTTTTCGTTCAAAATTCCTCACCAAGTTGTATAGAATAACAGATTTTACACATCAATAATGCAAATGTTTAGTAATGTTTGTAAGCATTAAATCGATTAAAAGTGACAGTAAATACATGTATAATGTAAAAAAAAAGATTTCTATTTCAAATATATGCTGTTCTTTTGTTTAATAATTTGTGATTAAATTCTGTAGATTGTGTAGATCAATGGATTACTCTCGCAGACCCACCATAAAGGAAATAGTTTTGCGAAATGTTTCTTTAGAGAGCGGTTTGAGTAAACGTCTGGGCTCAAGTCTCCCTGACCTGGACAACAAGAAACACCTGAGTCTCCTCAAACAGATGTCTCCAACTAAGATCATTCCTGAAAAGCGTAAGAGAACTGCTCAGTTTTGTATTTAGATTATTGTAATATATTTATGTTACTGATCATCTTTATGAAATTCTTTATCCCAAAAGCTATGAATACTCCAGTCAGGCCAGTCAAGATCTTCCAGCTCCCAGATTTCCCTTCTCTCTTGAACTACCCCAATGTACTCCATTACTTTGGAGATCTTATCCTCCAGCTGAACAAAGCCATATCAGCCACCCCACCTGATGATTCCTCCCTGCTAGCAAGATATTTTTACCTGCGCGGCCTCATCAACATGCTGAGCTCTAAGCGATTGGATGCCCTCGGCGACTTCCAGAACCTCTACAAAACAGATATTGAGATTTTTCCTGGAGAGCTGGTGAAGACGCTGATGGACTCTCTGCAGATAGAGGAGAGAGTCCAGGTAGAGAAAAGATCTGAGCTCAAACGGCTCATCTGTCAGATGAAGAACAATGAAAAAAGCGAGCATGTGGAATCAGACTATCACGTGAAGAAGTTTGAGCTGCCCAAGACCCCCATGCAGCTGAAGGAGTTTGTGATGTGCACTCAGCAATCTGGTATTGTGCGGGACATGGCCACTTCACAGAGATTGTTTGAAGCTCTCATTGTCGGTAAGTTTGAGCTGTAGTGTGTCATTGTATAAAACCATTATGGGTGCGCAATATATTTGTACCATACCAGTTAATAATAGAGATAGAATTTTTAAATAGAGATAGAATATTTAATTTATTGGTAATCGTCAGTATTTGCTGTCTTCTACAGCTCATTTAAAGTTTATATTTAATGTTTAGCAAACCTCTATTAATGAATATTAATTTTCAAACTGTACAATTCTAATACTTTTAAAAATGTATAATCTATAAATGATATTTTTAATGTATTTAGACAAAAGTAAGCAATGAAAATAAATACAAATATAAAATAAATATTAATAAAAAATCTGAAAAATACAATAAAAATATTCTGCTATTTATTGTGATATTATGTCAAATATTGTGTTATAATATGTTGGTTCTTCTCAGGTGGGCCGAAGCATATTCATCCAGAGATGTTCAAAGTGTTTTATACCTTCTGGAAACAGGCCGAGGCAGAAGCACAGGACATTGACCTGCCTGCTGAGGTCCTGGAATGCCTAGACAACAATGAGTGTGTGTACAAGCTGTCCAGCTCTGTGAAGACCAGTTATGGTGCAGGTAAAATTGCCATGACTCAGAAGAGGCTCTTTCTGCTGACAGGCAGACGTGGATATGTTGAGATTACCAAGTTTAGGGACATTGAGGTTTGTGAGTCTTCTTTATACCTGTAATATTACTTTTAAAATGAGAAATTAGTGTTTGTGGTAACCGTATGAATCCTGTGAACCCAGGAAGTAAACATCTCCGTTGCCCCGCTTTTGAGGATCCCATCTCTAAAGATCAAGAACAGCTTAAGGAAAGAAATATTCGAGGCTAATTTAAAATCTGAGTGTGAACTGTGGAACCTGATGGTCAAGGAGATGTGGGCTGGGAGAATGATGGCAGACAACCATAAGGTAATGTTCACCTGTAAAACTGGAATCAAAACATGAAATATAAAATGAAAATGGCCGAGAACAATTGTTTTTCTATTTGAATACATTTTAAAATGTTATTTATTCCTGTTATGGCAAAGCTGAATTTTTAGTAGCCATTACTCCAGTCTTCAGTGTAACGTGTTCCTTCAGAAATCATTCTAATATTCAGATTTGTTGCTGAAGAAAATGTACTTATTATTATCAATGTTGAAAACCATTTTGCTGCTTAATTTTGTGGATACATTTTTTTTCAGGATACCTTGTTGAATATATAGTTCAGAAAAGTATCTTTTATTTGAAATATAATTTTTGTAACTATGTAAAAGCCTATCACTTTTGCTCAATTTATTTGTCCTTGTTAAATAAAAGTATTAATTAATTTAACAAAAAATCTTACTGACCCCATGCTTTTGACTGGTAGGGTATAAACATTTCAGGGTAAAATATATAAGGTATTAGAGATTCAAATAATTAAAATGATCTTTTGAAAACTTGATGAACAAGGACATTATACTTTTTTTTTTAAAAAGATAAAAAATTAATTTATATTGGTTCATAAATATGTCTTGCAGCAAATAGAAAACTGTTACCAAAGGAATTTGCGGCCATTCAGTGTTTCTAACGGTAACAGGGTGTTTAGGGTGTCTGTCAAAATAATGCAAGTTTTGACAATCACATACATGCTTTGATATGCCCTACTGGTTCATTCCCATTTCCTGCCATTAGACAAACGTCCTTCACTAGGTGTAAATTGTTCAATGTGTTGTTTTTTTTATTAAGGATTCAAGTTTGTTTCTCTTTCCTTGTTTGAGGAGATGAATGTTATTCCTTTTCCAGATCATTGCATGTTTAAACTACAAATTCACAAAATACTTTAATTTGTGTTCTGTGATCTCTTGTGTTTATCAGGACCCCCAGTGTGTGCAGCAGGCACTGACCAATGTCCTGCTTATGGATGCAGTGGTGGCCTGTTTAAAGACACAGAAGGCTATTTGTGCTGCCTCCAAACTGGCCTATTTTGAAAAGCAGCGAAAAGGTGTGTCTCACTCCCTACCTGTAAGAACAACTGTATGATGAAGACAAGACAGTTGTGTTAAAGTCTCTTGTCTTCATTCCCACAGTCCCCATGATCATCCCCAGACCCACAGCAGAGACTCTGAAACACAAGATCAATCCGTCCCAGAACATGACGCACCCTCAGTCTGTCGATGTCTTGCTCTACACTCCAGGTCTGCATGCAGGAGGTTTTGGTGAAATAGATCAGATATGTTAATGGTCCCGGTTTGTCCTGTCTAATCTGTCCCCATGAGATTTGTCACATTATTTCAGTTTAAATATCCGTCAGGTTATTACACACATTATTTCAGACTGAAAAGTTAATCATACTGGACAAAGCTACATACTACATGAATTGAGCATATGCATGTTATCAAATGAAACTTTTTCAGTGGCATGTAAATGTGTACAATTCTTGGCCTGTTTGTTCTGGCAGTGTCACATGACAATTCCAATGGTGCTGAATTGTTCAGTTAGCATTTGTAAAACTGCTGAGCAGGAACAAGGGCAGCAGTGAGGAGATTTGATCTAAATGCTATTCCAGATACTCCCCCCTTAAAAAGCCTTCAGATAACCCATATTTAAGCCTCGACTTGGAGGATGTAGCAAATTAAATTGAATTATGTAGTCAAGGAATGCTGCAATGCCTGATAGTGTGCTTAGAGTATATTTGTTTATCAGTTTAAATTATTATTTTTTATTATTTTATAAATGAAAGGATTGGTTTGGATTTATATTTTGGAAAACACGTAAATGAGAATGTGGAGCTTTTTTTTCAGTTATAAATATAAACTTTATTTGTGTAAGAAACTGTGTTTGTGTAAGATTTATATAAACTGTGCTTGTGTAAGATTTAATGCTAAATAACTCTTTTTAACTTCTTCCAGGCCAGTTAACTTTCCCGGACAGAGATGTGGATGGAAACCCTACGCTCTGGTGTGCTCTCAGCTGTGGGAAAGTGGTTGTGTTTGATGCTGTCAGTTGGTCCCTGATGCAAAACTGTATTCATTTAGGAGAATCTCGACTGGTAAGATGCTGCTGTTTGACTTTAAGATTTAATATATTGATATATTTTAATATATTGATTTAATATATTGAAGATGATAGAAAAGTAATTGATATCAGCAATATCAGATGTTTTATTTAAGTAATCTATTTAGTGACTCTGCAGTCGTTGAGAATGTGTTGTTCAAGTAACGGGGACCTATAAGGGACCTCAGTAAATTGTGTATGATTCCACCTTGTGGATTGGAGCACCTTGCCATCTTGTTGCAGCTTTGTTTTCCAGTGTCTTATACTTCTGGCTTTAGTTTTTGGATCTGTGGAAGAGTGAAAATTAAAGTCTAAATCTCAAAGCAGTTTTCACACAGCAGTCTTTTTTTTTTTTTTTGGTGCCCAGAACTGCATGATGGGATTGGACCAGAAGCAAGTGTGGATTGGTTCTCAGGACTCCGTCATTTACATAATTAACACACGCAGTATGCTGTGTCATAAACAGCTGACTGAGCACCGTGGAGAGGTCACAGACTTTGCCCTGGAGAAACTGAATCCTGAGAACAGATCAGGGTGAGTATTGGACAGTAACATCATTCACTGGGTCTATATCCTGGCTGAGGTTGGATTAGACTGACTGCATTGTGATAATGCTTATTAATATTAAAATATATATATATTGTTTCTGTTTTAAATAAAGGCTGTTCTTTTGAACTTTTGAAATGCTATTCATTCTCAAACACTTAAATCAGCATATTAGAATGATTTCTGAAGGATCATGTGACACTGGAATAATGACTGCTGAAACTTCAGCTTTGCAATCATAGGAATAAATTACTTAAAATAAAAAAACAGTTATTTAAAATGTAAAATATTCAACAATATTACTGTATTTTTCATTAAATAGATGAAGCTTTGGTGAGCGTAAGAGACTTCTTTCAGAAACGTTAAAAGATCTCAACAACCCCAGACTTTTGAACAGTAGTGTAATGTCTTTTTGTTTGTTTGAGGATGTCATTTGCGTGATTTCACATCAGATGAAATGAGAGCATTATAGCACACTAAAACCTGATCTTTATAAAAAAAAAAAACAACAACAACGTGGTCTCCTCTTTCTCTTTCTCTAGGTCTGGATTGGTTGTAATGGTGGGTCAGGCCTCAGTAAGGTTGTGGGGAAGATCTTTGTGTTGGACTCTGAGAGCCTGAAGGTTGAGAAGGAGCTTGAGGCCCATGAAGATACAGTTCAAGCTCTCTTCTCAGCAGAGGACCGATACATACTCAGCGGCTCTGCAAAAAGTGATGGCAAAATCGCCATCTGGAGAGTAGATTAAGCAAGCTGACACAACATGATTTTAAGTTTTTAAGGTATCAGCTTCATAAACAGGGGCATCATGATCTGTGACATGCAAGTAGTTACTCAGTGCTCACAGCACAGGGGAAGAAATGTAATCACACAATTGCCCTTTAAAAGTGCTCTGTAATCCCATCAGGCTTTGGTGAGCAGAGCTGTTTATACTGGTTTTGATTAGAGTTAGCCAATGATGGCACTATGAGGACCAACTAGAGTAACCTGAAGGTTGCAAATACTTATCAAGCTAGATAAGGGAGTGAAACAACTACTACAATGCTTTTTTTCTACAAATAGTCCTATGTTAAGAATGCTCAGATCTCAACAGTCTCTGTGGAAATATATATTTTTGTATAGCTTGTGGCTGTAAAATATAAATAACAGTTTATTCTATCTTTCTGAATTAATTTAAAAGCTCTCAGTCCTTTGAAAGCTGCTCTTATTCCAAGAAAGCTGAATATAGAATTGGGTGAGGTTTGTGGAACTGCCATGTACACAATTTCCTGAAAAGCCCTGGATCAAAGGGAATTGAGGTCCAAACACCAGCACTGCCTGAGGATGGACTGCAGCCATAATAAGTAGATTGTGGAACAGTGTGGTGTCTCTGGAGTGGCTTGTAAGATTGTATGAAACCCTCTTTGATGGATACTACTATCTTGACTATATATGTTGTACTATATATGTTGTACTATGTTTTTGTTATTACAGATCTGTATTTATTTTATATCATAAATGTTTTGGGGGTATTTCTCACAGGGTTGTATGGGATGTATTTGGTCTCAAAATGTCTTTTTTTTTCTTTTTATAATTGCATTAAGTAAAAAAGTAAAAGTAAAACATAGATGATGATAAAGCATTTACAATCTTTAAGATACATTATAGGCCTGGCTTAAATTGTGCTTGCATTTTGACAATATTTTATTTGCAGTTAAGCACATTTTTCCTAAAATTCTCATTACTGCGTGGAAAAAAATGTTACTGTAGTAATGTAATTATATTGTCCTATCTGTTACACTGTTTTTGTACTAAAATAAGAATAAATTCAGTACAACATCAGTAATAGTGCTCTTGGTTTTAAATATTATAAATAATAATGTATAAATATGATTGAAATAATGTATTACATTTTGCATTACAATAATGAGAATAATGAGAATTTGTATTTATTCATAAGAAAAAAAAAAAAAAATTATTAAAACAGATTTCATTTTCTTATAAATTATTGAAACATGACATAAATGTGCTTTACAAGTTTCATTAAATTCACATTTTGCTTTGTACTTCTTTCCTTTGTAACAATCTTCTCTTAGATCAGCCCTCCTTTCCCCTTGAAAACAAATTATTTAATGTCACGTCTTAAAATAGCAATACATATGTGGAGTTTGTGTTTGCCTTTAATATTCAAATAAATATGACTTCATAAACATGGAGCCATTCAGGATCAGCCCTTTTCGCTCTGGAGGTGTTTGCAGGAGGGGCACTTGGCTGGATTTTTGCCGCCCAAGCAGAGAGCAGTGATTGGCTGATGTGTAACCCTGGGGTCAGCCATCTAACTGTCAGACGTCATTGGAAGGAATTTTGGGGATGTGTCTGGAAGACAAAGCCAGCACACATCCATCCTGTCCCTAAGTCCCTGGAGTGTGTGTGTAGGCGTGCAGCAATGCTTTCAGAGCTGCTGTGCTTTGCATAAGAATGAATTTATATAATTGCAGAAGCAAAATAACAGACCATATTCATGGATATTATTAGTTTTGATGTCAAAGAAACATTTTGTGAGCACATTCTTGGATAAAGTTGACAAGTATGTGTCATACTGATGAAGTCAAGTGGGTGTGATGCAATAAGATATTTTTTCCCTGTTGGTGGCTAAATCGCCAAATGAATCACAATCAACACCATATTCAGTACATAATGTATAATCTATTGTACCAGTAAATATGCCTAGCTTATTTTTTTCCAAAAGCAAATTATCGTAACTTAATATTTTTATGAATGCTGGGCAGCCTGAGGTTGGAAAGCCCAGCGTTGGAAAGCCCGATTCATTTAGCAAATCGGTTCGTTTGACCCGTTCGTTTCAATGAATCAATTTACTGATTCTTTTGAGACATCATTCCAAAGAATTCCCAGAATTCTATGCACAGTTTTTTTGGAAGTAAACACATTAATTGAAATTCCCTTATACTTTTATCAAGTTAAATGTGTGCTTGTATTTAGATGTATATGACTAATTATAACTGTTAAAGATGTGTTGCATTTGATGCTTTCACTGGAATTAAGACCATGTGTTTTTTTCCCCCTCACAGATAAATGTTCCTACCTGTCACATATTTGTCGTTGTTTATGCATGCATTCACATTCGCTTTGCGAATCGGTTCTACAGGATGATTCAAATGAATCGGTTCAACATAATGATTCATTCGCGAATCGGTCATCACTAGCAGCAGTGAGAGTGAGAGCAAGAGGGAGGATTCCGGCTTCAGATCCACTACAGACCCCACGGAGCCTGAACGGACCCACAAACTGCGCTAACCTCGGGATACAAACCAAAGCCAAACACTGCGGATTACCAGTTAACGTTACAGGGTGTTTATCAAAAAGGCGCGTTTTTGGAGACATCCGATGAAAAGAATACGGTAAACATTACTCCTTGTTAAGAATGCACATTTTATATTTGCTGTAATAATTGCAATAACTGTGTTAGCTTGGTAGCATAGCGTGAGGGGCTCATATTTGCACTTGGACCTGGAGAGTGGGCTTTCCTGGGCCATTCTGACATGTTGCGTTGCATTGTGAATGCGAGCCGTGTTATTATATTGCAGCGTGCTTAGGATTCCCGTATCATTATGAAATTGCTGATAAAAGTCAGATGTGCACGGTTTTGAAGGACAAATGCTCCTGGCAATGCGAAAGAGACCATACCCAGTAATTTCAAGCCATTCCCAATGTTTTCTTCCTCACGGAAAAAGCGTCGTGTCAAATGTAACACCAATCTGCATGTTTAATAACCCGGTATAAATATGTCTTGTTCGCTGCTGGGTTGTTATGCTGAGTTAAGTGTGTTGCGTTAGGGGCTGTGTATCGTTGTCAGACAGTTTCTGTTCACATGGTGAACTGAAAACAATAACAAAAGACAAACAATGCAAGTTTAGTGCGCGGGCAAGATTTATTAGTAGCATTTGTCTTTGATGCTTTCTACCAATATTATGTATCAAGTGCAAATATTTCACTTAATGAACACTAGTGCTGGTTATATAGGCAGTTTATTATTAGGTACAGTAGGCTAGTCATCTGCTTCAGGTAGCCTAATATTTCGGAAACATAAAGGTGGTGTTTAATATCAATTGGGGGTTGATAATTAGTTGACTGGTTGTTTTCATTCATGATTTCACTAAAAATAAAAAATAAAAATCATACTGGAATACAAAAAATTAGCAAGGTGAGCAAGACAACCGTAAACAACCGTATCACATTCTCGATCACTTATCAAGGTTTTATTCTTCTGCTGCTTTTTTGCTGACTTGTGTTAGAAATTCGTGAACGAATCGTTCTTTTGAGGTGGCTCTTTCTACTGAATCTGTTCAACTGCCTCCCACAACTTGTCTGAACAATTAGTTTACGAATTAGATAAATTTTTATAAACACACATACGAAACCGAGTTGGTTTTAAAATATCATTTTATAAAAACACGTGAAGTCTAAATAACATAAATAACTTCGATGTAAAGACCTGCTGAACCAGCTGTTTGGAACGAACTGTTGGAGAGAACCGATTCACGGAAATGAGTCACTGGCTTTGACTAGTAAGTGTTTGCTCTTCACCTGCTTTTCATGGACGTTGACCTATCAGAGCAGCGTTATATTGTGGGCGGGGCTTCTCTAGGCGTGTGTATGTGTGGGCGTTAGGAACCTCTGCAGGTATTCTGTAATGGTACGTCATTAGCTCAGGTAAGGAGAGCTGAGGAAAGAGTCTGGGAAGGTACATGGAAATACACCATGCAGTTCTGGAGTTTTCTAAGCTGTGCCAGTGCAGGTAAGTGGTTCTTTATTATAGTGCTGACATTAATCACTGGCCATTGTGTAATGGTAATCATTCATTATTTAGAAGCTGCTCCAAGTCAGGAAGAGAGTTTCTGACAGGCATTTTAGGGTTGGAGAGCTCATATCACATCACACACATACACATTTATATATAAAAGTGCATACAGGTGAAGGCGCATCTCATTTGAAAACATTACATTGTGTAATCATATATGAGATCATCTATAAAACAGTTTTTTTTAATCTGCTTCAGGGTGGTGTAGGGCCACCTAAAGCCATATTTCATATTTCCATTGCAAATGTGATCGGAAGAACTCCAGGAGGCTTGGCTTGGTGCAGAGCTGCGCTTGAGGCTATGTTTTTTTATGGTGGTGTATTTCAGTCAGCCTTAAAAATCTGTCCTTAAACACTAAATAAAATAGTTGTGCCTGTGTGAATAGCCATTTTATCATTGCTTAATGTACACGATCATGCAATGTTTTAAAGAATGTTTGGTTTGTTATTTAGGTTTAGGAAATGATATAATGATAGTGTCTTTAGCTCGTTGTGCTCTTTTACGTGGTGGTTTGATGTTGTTTATCCGTGCAATTTATTAGTTTTTTGTTTTTAAATGTTGTTTGCTATATGTAGGTTATGTGTAATGCATTGCAACATTTGTTTAGGACAAATTCCTGTGTATTTGACAAGTCTCAACATAGCTTTGGTCCGCTGTTGATATTGGAATGATCTACCATGCAGGCAGGCACAGCGAATGTTGCTTATATGTTGATGTTAAACAGCATTGATGTATGTTTTTGAAAAATTAACTTGATGTTTTGAGTGTTCAGCCAACATGAGGCACTTACAATAGAAGTGAATGCGTCCAATTTTTTGAGTTTTTTTAAAGCAGATTATGTATTAATTGAACTAAAGCTATTTAAAGAGGTCATATGACGTTGCTAAAAA